AGTAGTAGTAGTAGTAGTAGTAGTAGTAGTAGTAGTAGTAGTAGTGATACTAGGAGAAGTAGTAGTAGCAGCAGCAGCAGTAGTAGTAGTAGTGATAGTAGTTTCCAGCACTTAGTACAATTAGTCATAGTATGTCGTAGTCACAGTAAAAAAGTTCATGACCCAATCACCCGGCCCACATTTCAATCAGCGGCAGTATGGTGTCTTCATGATGATGATCAAGGAGTCACGCCACATCTTCTTTCCTTCGTTGTACCTCGGCACGTTCTCAATGCTTCTCTTTGGCTCGTGCTCAGTAACACCGACACAGAACATGGACAAATCTCAACTACAACCCCAACTCCCAAACCCTTGCCAAACCAGCACAACACATCCCCGATGCTTGAGGTGTCGCTTTCATCGCTTGAAGCTGAGCCGCTTGACGCAGCAGCCACCCGACTTGCCTGTCCGTGGCACGGTCTCCACTCTGGTTCCCTACAGGTCAAAGGCCTCATTTTACTGAAGTTGGTCATGCAAAAGCACGACGGTTCAGGACCAGGTCTTACTAGGTAAAGCTGGCCTTGTAGGGCACCAGCACCTTCAAAGGGGTCTCCAATGGAATATATTACAGACTGGCGATGGCCAGACAAGACGCCAATACCTATACCGTACAAGTGCGGGCCCATTAATAAAACCTGGTTCCTGAAAACCTTCTTGGGTAGCTCCCCATGCAAACAGTGTGGTCACACTGGGCGGTTGTGTGTGCGGCAATGGTTTAAGAAGGGTGTCTGATCGAAGTGCTCGCATCCGCGCACGGCTATTTCGCTGCTATTTACGCTGCATTCCTTCACCTGGAAATCGTCGAAGTGCATCTCGACTACGCAGGCTCGCAGAAACTGGGCGCGAGCGGGTGGTTTCCTCGGCTGCGCTCTCGTTGCGGTGTGCTTGGTGATCCCTTTTCGTGGCAGGCGAAAGGGAAACCTTGTGCTTTGGTGGTCAAAAATTGACTTTTTGTGGCAGGGAGACCAGAGCGGTTTTACTTCGATGCGCAGATTTCGTTGCAGGCGCAGTGCTTTGCATGTGGACCTTTGAGATGTGTAGTGGCACGCGCAGCCCCTGGCAGGCGCAGCGCTTGACTTTGTGAACGTGAAAGTGCAGATATCATGGCAGACGCAACACTTTGTGAACCTCGAAGTGTCCATTTTGGGGCAGGCGCGGCGCTTTGTGAACCTGCACACGCGATTGTGTGGCATTGGCAGCGCTTTGTGGGCGTTGGGGTGCGGCAATATGTTCTCATGCGTGTGCTCTCCAGACCCCCAGGCCTCCAGATCCCTTCTCTCAGTCTCAAACTTCTCTAGATCTAAGACTTCTTCGATTTTACATCTCCAGACCTCTGGATCTCACACCTCTACATCCATCGATTTCGGCTTTGAGAACTCTCCTAGACCGCTAGAACTCTCTCTCTCTCTCTCTCGATCTCAAAGCCCGGATCTTCAACTCTAGATCTAGACCTCAACCTCTGGACCTCTAGACCGGCCTCTTGACCACTGGGCCTCGCAAACCTGAGACCTCTAGACCATGAAAGCGATGTTTTTTAGGTGTATACAGGTAGAGTTTTTGGTTCTCAAGGCCTCTAGACCTCTACTGGACCTGGAGACCTCTGGATCTCTAGGCTTCTGCAACTCCAGACCTCCAAAGACACCCAAATCTCTCTTGGTCTCAACATGGAATCGTCTGGATCTGCAGACCTCTAGACTGGGTCTCAGGAGCTCTAGATCTCCTAGACCCAAAGCTCTAGATAGCTCTAGATAGCTTCATATATCTCAAGTCTCAAGACCTCAAGAGCCCTAGGCCTCTACATCTCCAGATCTAGACCTCCCTGCCTCTAGATCTTTCTGGATGTCGACAGGCGTTTAAGATCGTTTAAGTCTTTCTAGAACCCTATTTCTAGACCTCTCAAACGCTAGACCTTGAGACTTGTAGGTTTCGGGACTCTAGACCCTCTAGAACACTACTAGACCTAGGCATCCAGACCTTGGGAACTCTAGACCCACATGCATATCTCTCTGCGTCTCAAGACCTCTGGATCTGTGACCTCTAGACCTCTACATCTCTCTGCTGGATCTCAAGGCCTCTACACCTCTAGATCTCTTTGGAACCCAAAACGTCTAGATCTCTAGACCTTCTGCTTCTACACCCTTACACCTCAGTCCTCTAGACCCTCAAACACTGTTTGGGGTCTGTTCTTGCAGGACCAACTCCAGCAAAAATGAGGTCCAACATGGCCCAAGGTCCTGACAGTTGCATAGATCTGCCAACGATGCAAATGTCCCGGCTTTTGGGATTGTAGATATGAGGCAGATTTTTTCCCACCCCTTAGGAGGATCCCACGGGGAGCTGCGCCTGGACAAGTCTTGATGGTCTGTTGCGTGGTCACAGCGGCAGTCCATGTACCAGACACAGCGGTACAGTCCGCTTGGGACATGGTGTTCGAGGTATATGCTCCCACTTGACCTGAGCAAACAGCCACGGCGTGGCATCTCTGAGTGCCTATGTCTCTCGTAAAACAGCATTGACTGCGAGGAAGCCAGATCATCGAGATCGAACAGATTCAGTGGGTGACTCCCAAGTTATGCAGGTGATGTTGAAAAATCCGCCAAGTGAATGGTACAACCGACAGCACCTCGGCTACAAAGCTACTATAGCTATACCTCCTAGGACCGCCTAAAGGGTGGTTCATAGACTTTCCCGAACTATCTATGTTCCATCTACTAATCACCCTTTGGGTGGTGCCGGTAGCTACCTACTAGCTACCGTATACTTGTTTGATGTACTGCAATCTCAGTGACATTGTGCAGGTGTCGTCTCCACTGTAATCGTCGGGAACACATCGCACACCTCGGTGTTTGAGAAAACACCTCACCGGATCGCTCGGAGGTGCTTCTGTCACTTGCGGCGTTTTTCTCGCCCGGACTTGGATGGTACCGGTAATGAACACATGTCTTGAACATGTCCTAAAACAATACATAGCAAAACCATCTGATTGGGGGACAAATGATGTGTTTGAACACAATGGAAACACGTCCAGCATGGGGAACACACACACACATGGATTGGACATCTCTTGAGATGACGCGCCGTCCCACAATGCTACATTGCGATGACTGAAATCTGAACTGAAAGGTAAATGAAGAGGAGGACACGTCAGAGAGTCCGCCAGTGGTTCAAGTTTACTGATGCTCACGTTGGAATTTGATTTCTTCCAATTATATATAATATATAATTCCCATTGAATGAACCCAACATCCCCTGATATCAGTGGAGATCAGTGGCTTGGATGCAGCCAACTATGCAGCCAGATATTCCCCATTCATCCACAGATCCTGCCAACCCTGAATCTTTGCAGAGTAGATATATCATCTCCAAAATCGTCTTGTGAGGCAAAGGCTGCTATATGCATGCTTATGCATGCTTATGCCTGCTTATGCCTGCTTGCCACGAGACATCGCTGGCAGGCCACAAACCTTGGCTGGTCAAGTGAGAATGTCACCAAAGAGTACTCTGTGCAGCAGGTGTAGTGCGTCCCTGCGTCACAGCGTCACGCACTGTCTGTTCGACAGACGCAAGACCAGGACCCTCCCAGTGACCTTTTGAGATCCCAGAATGAGGTCTTGAAAAGGTCACTTACCAATCCTGAAAAGGTCACTGGGAAGGTCCTGGCATGTCCTAGCTAGCTAGCCGTAGACCAAGGTGTTGCGAACATCGGACAGCCCTTGTTGAGCTAAATGAACTACAATCACCCTAGTAGCGTTCTTGTTTCTAATAGCAAACATTGTTACTATTAGTAAGGCACTTGTGACTAGAAGCGATGCACTTGTTCCTAGTAGCGATGCGCTTGTTACTACAGTTGCTTCTTGGTCACCAAAGTGCTCCACATCTTCAATGTGGTCTGGGCTTCAGATGGGATCCAGGGGAAAGGTCGCGAGTCCGGTCTTGATCCGAAGGTCGACTGCCTACCAGTCAACCCATGTCGACCCACGGGTTACGAGTCGTTGCACATTCTGTGAGGAAAAACACCCATCTCTTGCGAACCACGAGTCTATGATGGTCCGCCCAGTTAGACAACTTCAGGGTCTTGTGAAACTCATCAGATGGCAGGAAAGACGTGGCATCTGTCAAAATCGCGGCTTGAACTCGGTTGGAAAGAAAGGTCTTGAAACAAGGGTTCTCGTCAGCCAGTATTCAGGTGAAGGGGATTCTTTGAATGAGAATCAACCTTGTCTTCAGCTTTAAGTGGCCACCACCGAAAACATGCCCTCTGGATCCACTGCCCTTTGAGAGAGTGATGTGTTCGGACACGTTTGTATACGCTTAGAGTCTACCTTCTGAGAAGGTCATTGGATTCCCTCGAAGTTCGACTCAGTTCGACCAGCCACTTTGTCAGTTGGTCGCCCCATGGTCATCAAAACTGGCCACGTCTAGACCCTCCTGAACAGTCTATATACCCTCCTCAACCCCCAACACCTCCACCTGCGGTCCAGAATGCCGATGTTGTGCTTCAAGTTCTGCCCGTGGAATCCTGGCGTTTCAAACAAAAACGACGTTCCACACAAAATCCAATGCCTTTAAAGCCTTTTCTCAGTGCAGCCTCCACTTTTTCTGGACATCTCTTAGAACCCCTCTGGACATCTCTTGCAACTGCATGGGACCAATATTCAAAACCATGAATCGAGCATCAGTGTCTTTCGGGCATCAGTTTCTTATACTCCAGGCTGCCCCAGGCCAAAAAAAACCAATATCATGACCACGTACCCGCTGTGTTCCTTCCCCCCTCGTGGCGTTCGAGGGATGCCGCTCCCGTCACCCTGAGGGATGCCGCGCCGGTTCCTGCAAGTCCGCCACCTTCGGCCCAGTTGGGCATGGCAGCCACTCCGACGCCCACACCCAGGGCCACCGCCAAGATGAAGCCTCGACTGGTCGACTCGTCCGGAACAAGAAGACGTGTTTGGGTACCGCTGCTGGCTGCTTGGTCGGTGAAGTTGCATGTCTCATCATGTCTCAAAAAGGTTTTATAAGGGGTGTTCTTAAGAGGGGTCAAGGAGTTGTGAAAGGTCTCCTTTCCAATGCTGGATATAAGAATTCAATGCCTTCTACTGCACCGGCTATGCTAGCACAAAAGACCACGCAGATCTCTTCCCCGATGGCTGACCTGCGAGCCGTTTCTCTGGAAAAGAGAAGGTGAACCAACCTTTCCACCTGTTGTTTGGTGGGGTTTCCCATGGTTTCCCTAATCCCCAACCAACCTTAATCGATCTTAAAGTTGCTTTTTGCAGGTTCTCCACTTTTCATGGGTCGGACATGTGGTCGGTTCTCGTCCATCCCCAGTCCATCCCTCAACGCCGCGTGGCGTGTGCGGCGGCCCATACCACCCGCACCGACGATGTTGATGCCAGAGACGAAGACGTTGGCGAACAAGAAGGTGGTCATGCCTGGAACTGCTCGTTTTTCAACGATCTGAGCAAGCCAGCGGGGCCCACGTGGAACTGTGGTTATTGGAATATACATAGTCAGCGGTTTCTGTCAACCACCCCAAATCCGCTGAAGTGTGTTTTTACGCAGAGAGACACGAGCAGTTGACGCAAGTCGAGCAAGACTCGAGTCAAACATCCCTTGCTCTGATCGAACTGGCTAAAGCCAGTAGGATCTTTGGAAGAAATCATGGGACAAAATGGTTCGAGCCGATTCGAGTGACAAGTAATTACCCCCTGCAAACTACGGCAATATGGACCCTAAAACAACTGGTTTCTTCTTCAAGGATCCGTTTTCAAGGTCCATATGACTTTTCAGGGGAGAGCATATACCAGCACCCTCCAACAGGTCTTCTACATAGTGTAGTTCGGCCCCTAAAAGGATTGGAGACCTGTAGAGTCGGGCGCTGGTATATGCCTAGATCCAGTCCAGCAGTTCCAGTTCAGAAGTGCTTGAAATGGACGGCATCATTCTGGGCATGGCTATTCCGCTGCAGCTCGACATTCCAAACTGCTGGGTGATGATGGGTGATGTATTAAGTCATTAAGTTTAATCATAGGACGTAGAGGGACATACAACATCGCAACATCTACTACTTCAGGATGCCAGGTTTTTTGTTGGGTCTTTTGGACTTGTATAGGGAATGATGGGAATGGTTACTTACCCTTTGAACATCTTTGGATTGGCTCCATTTTCTTGCTGTGGCGGTGCATCATCTGCGGGGCCGCAGCTGCGGTCCACTGCAGATACCGACCGCTCTGGGACCGAGACCATGGGCAGCGATGGACAGGCGCCCACCTTTCTTGGAACCAAACAACTAAGTAATAGCAATGGCCTCCGCTGCAGGATGGAGAAAAACGATGGGCAGTCATGCACCTTTCTTTGGAACCAAACAACCTGTAATAGTACAGTAATGAAGGCCTCCAACCTACTCACCATGGCCTCTCAACCTACTACCGATGGCCTCTCAACCTACTAAAGCTGGCCTCCAACCTACGAGCGGATGGCGCCTCCCAAGACGCAGTCGGGGATGGACGCGATGCAGGCGCCAAACTTCTCGAAGCATCCGAAGAGAATGAGCCAAATGCAGCAGGCGATACCCGCAGCACGGGAGGCACAGCGGGTGATGGCGATGACTCCGTTGTTCCTGCAGCATGGCGCAGCGGAAACTGGTCCAGTAGATTGCACCGGCATATAGATGTATACACTATTTAAAATCCTTAGTGAAACAATGGTTGTTTGGTAAACAACTGGTGCTTTGAACGCTTAGGGTATAATATTGTACGTATATTGCTGAGTCATCACGAGTCACGCAGTGTCGCTGATGGTCATCAAGATGAATGCACCTTGACTATATCTTATTACCAGGGCTCAATGGATGATGATGGTTCAGTTGCAGGCCGACATCTCTTAAATAGTGGTGTTCTTGTTGACCCACTGTTCTATACACCAATCTTTGGGATATGTCTCCACATGTCCCTGCTTTCTCTCCACCAATCAGATGAGAAAAAACTGGGGGACCCTGTCGTATGTTTTTTCTCTCGACCCTGTAATGTATAGGCTCACACTCCTCAGTGTGCTGGCATGAAGCCCCTCAAAAAGCTGACAGTCAGTGTCGAAACTCTCCTTTTTGACCGATTCACCCTTCCAGTTCGGTCTTCCCAAACGAGCCCTCATTTCCCCAGCTCTGAAGCAACTTAATCCGCGGCACTGGGAGAAGGTGGTGTTCGGAGGCGAAGTCATGAGCACGGCTAAGATGCTGTTCAAACCATCGGCCAGCAAACCTGCCAGCAAGGCACGTGTGACGTGGGTGTGGGTCAAAACCGGGCTACCTCGGTTGACCACAAAAATGAACAGAATGGACTACTAAGGAGGTCAACCTACCCTGGTTTGGGGATCCGGGTTTTGGTCCACAGCCACGTGTGTTCGAAAGGCCACTGAAGGAAAGGGGGTCAGATGTTCGAGACTTCGAGGGGTCGATGTTCACTTCAACTCTTTACATAAAAAGCATAATATGAAAGAGTTGAAAGAGTTGAAGTGAACATAGGGGGGCGTATGTGATCAACTCTTTCATGTCAATCAATCTGTCAACTGCTTTATAGCCTATGGCTTTGTCACCCTGTCAGGTTGACATGTTTGATCGATTGACAGGGTTTGTCACAAGATCACCGGAAAGCGTATCATACTCCGACGGAACCCCCTGGATACATGGAAGTGGACGGCAACCCCCTCTTCGTTTTCGGAAGAGTCTGTCACGGGACCATGCCACTTCCAAGCATGAGGCCGGGAGCGTGCCAACTGATGTTGAAAACTCAGTTCCTTGGGAAGACCACGCAACGTTAGAGTGGTAAAACACATGGTTTTACCATGCTTTACCGGATCTGCCAAAATGGCATCCCTGTACAACCTCTGATCAATTCTCTTTACCGAATGAATGAATGTCCCAGAGCAAGCAATCAGGCACTCCCACTGGACGCGACGATCATCTACCAACACCCTCCAACAGGTCTCCAACATAGCTTTTGCAGACTTGAAAGTAGTCGCAGCTGGTGACCTGTTGAGTCGCGTGCTGGTACTCTTTTGGGACTCTGAAAGAGGACATTCCACTGGACGCCCCAGGGTTCTCGTGGTCGAAAAAGACCAGCTCGGTGTTGACCTATTGAATAACCTATTCATGTTATAACTGTCTGTCTTCGGTTCTTTTCCTTTTACAGTATATCCTTTTATTATGGTCGAGTCTTTAGACCTATTAATTCCTATTATGACCTATGACCTATTCATGTCCATGTCCCCATCTGCTTTTTGATCCTTCTTTTAAGGGCCACCTCGTCCCCCCCAAACTCACCCCAGGATTCCCGCCATCTCCGCGCCGGACGGCTTCGGACCTCGCTCCGGCTTCCGACTAGTGAAACGGCTCGGTTCGCGCTCGGAGCACGTGCGGCGCGCGCGACGGTGCGGTGTCTGGCCTCCTTGAATACGAGAATCAGCATCCGGGCCCTCCAAGGGCAAGCCCGAGACGTCGCAGGTGGCTTGGATGTCACCCACGGTTTCCACGGAAGTGATCACGAAACCCAAGACCAGTGGAAGGAAGGCAGGAGGATAGAAGCCTCAGGATGAAAAGGGTGGTGGTTCTCACACGTGGTGGTGGTACAAAAAAGATGAAGTCACCAGTGTGTTTGGTTCTTAGTAGCATTGTTGGCCGGTAGCAGTATCACGAGAGCAACCGGCCTTGTGCAGCCCAGAATGAATTTCAATCAAAGGATGACCGGAGTGGAAATTAAAGTTGGAAGCCGGAAGCCGGAAGCTAGTAGGTTGGAGGCCATCGCTCTTAGGTCCCTATATATATATATACTATATTGCTACTCTATAGGTCCAAGGATGAACACCTCTCAGATCGTCCCGAGAAACCTCGGAGACTTGTGACCTGCGGTCGCAGGTCCTGTCAGTCTGTCGGTGTGAAGAGATATGATACCCAGGCAGAATGAAGCCTATAGGGCTCCAGTCGTACCTCATCAGAAGGTATTTGGACCGTCTAAACCCACCCCAGTCCCACCTTCTCAGAAGGTATTTGGAGGTCTAGGGGAAGCAAATGTGCCCTTGGAAGATGATGATCCTCTGCAGACTGCTGTAAAATGGCACGAGAAGACACCAGTTGTGATTGACTCAGGAACAAGGATCCTGAAATGCCAGGATTACCGAACAACCCTTGTCGTACTACTGTAAAGAAACAAGGCCACCCTTTTCTTGAATGGTCCAATGGAAGACGAACAGGGAAATGCTCTACAAATAGAACCAGGGTTGTGTCATCTACTTTGGGTATATCCCATGACCAGGGCCCAGTGAATCATGGTTAGGTGTTCGTTCTTGTCTCAAAAAAGAGCCATCACCTTTTGCCTTACAGCCTCACAGGATCTTTATGGGTCGGTTTACTGTTCTTTTTCCTCAAGAGTCTCTCTCATCAGTGATTGCTGGAACACACCCAGGTGACCTAGGTAGCTCATGGCGGCTAGACTTCCCCCCCGGACGTGATTCGAACCACCGCATCTGGACAGGATTGGAAAGGTTGACGGGTCGATATGTCGAAAGAAGAAGGTAACAAGGATAGGGAAGTGGGTGTCATGTCTTTGCTCCATTCCTTCCTTCTTCGTCCTTTTTTGGGTCAGGGGCTTTTCGGAACGCCTGGGAGGTCTCCTAATTTCATACACCCACATCGGAACTGGCGCCAGATTCCAGAAGTGACTCTTTTGGAGACACCTCACTCTGACAGTCACGCAGATTTGCTGAAAAAACAAGGCCTTAGGGCCTGAGACTCACTGAAAAAACAAGGCCTTAGGGCCTGAGACTCAAACTTGGCAGTATAAAAAGGACTGTATCCTTCGCGAACCGTGGAAAAAATAACTGGAAGCAAACCCTGCCCAACGAGAGTGAAGATCATGCTTCTTCGGGAATGGTCAGCTTGCCATACTAACCTCAACAAGCTCATTACTACAGTAGCTAGAAGCTACTAGTAACAAGGCACCGGACAAACAAGAAATGCCAGGAGCTATAGAAGCTACTAGTAGCAACATCCAACAGTCTTCCCCCGCCGAACTCGCCGAACTCCCGATCTCAGACTTCGCCCAAAGAGCCGATGTTGAAGGTGGTGGTCCAAAGAAAAGTGAAGGTCCCCGCAGCGTCGATCTTGTTGGTGTTCACAAAGGCCAGGGCCTTTTGTGTTGCAATCACATCGACGGAATCACACCACACCAAACCCAGTCCCCTTCAGAAATCCACTTGTTCATTCATGTAATTTCCATTATGGCGCCAGCTTGAGATCCTTAAGAAACACTTGAGTGGCTGGGACTGGGGAAACATCTGCTGTCTTTGGTTGGGACTGGCTTTCCGAAATCACGGACGAAACTGGATCCTTCCGCTCTTTTCTGCGCTGCTTTCGCGCAGAATGTGTGGGTGGAGAGACGTATGGAGAGACGTTTGGTGGAAGGGCCTGGAAGGCGGTCGTCGTCCACTTCCGCGTTTTGTTTTGAGTTGCAATCTGTTCAAAAAAAACCACCTTTTCTGAAGACCAATTTCGTTATTTTAGCCCGCCAGTTTGTTTTTTAGCCCGTGGCCCTGCCTCCTTATTTGTTTAAGTAAGGGACAAACTATGACAAACTTGTTCGCTCCTAGCTAGTTAAGCTAGTACTACATATGGACGCAGGATAGCTCACGCTTCTTCAAGGAAGCTCCCCCCACTCTTCTTCAAGGAAGCTCCCCCAGCTTCCTTGAAGAAGCGCTCGCCTTAAAAATTTGGTTCCTAGATGTTTGGGGAAAGTTAGTTAAGAAAGCTGAGTTTAAGACTAAAGAAGCAAGTGGCTAACAAGCAATCATAAAGCTGAGTTAAGAAAGCATGTTCATCAGGAACTCTAAGTGTCGAGCTGATGATCCATGTCGATCCCATCTTGATCATGAGCACCCTGATGCAAATAACACAGACACCTCTTTGGAACCTCTGGAATCAGTTTTGGTGAAATTAAACAACTAAATCGACCTGTCCAACGTATCTGCTACAGACTGGGTCAAAGTATCGGCAACATGTTGACACCTGGGCTGCGACCTCCGCGAGATGGGTGTTCAAGATCGGGTGGTTCTTCCCTGGTCCGGGACCACGCCATGGGGCAAAGCATCGACGCGGGCATATGCGGGCCGGTGCCTCACCAGAGGTGGCATCAGTCTTGAAGGCAACCCCTGCGCAGAAGTATCCAAAGAAGAGAGCCAAGGCTACAGAGCAATTCTTCAGGAAGGGAGATCCGACCTGAGACAGCAAAGGAAGAGGTGGCTCTAGAAGAAGCTGGTCGTATGTACTTGCTGCTGTTGGAAAGGAATCTAAATTGGGTGGTGCCAATGATTTTCAGCATTCACAACATTGCTGCAAGGTCGGGTTGTCTTCAAACAGAACAATATAAATGAGCATAGACAAGTCTATTCGATGTGCGTAGTATGTGTCCCCTTGATATGATTCGGGCCCTTCTGCAAAGACATCCAAGCAGATTTTCCAGAGTTGACGAGTTCCTTCTTGCCCTTCTTTACTTGGATTTGCTGTCCAGGATGCCGGGGAAAACAAGAGCAGGGGATTCACCCATCAGGAAAATGCACATCACCTGGTCTGCCCAAACCAGATTGGCGATGGTGACTCTGCCCGGGTTTGACCTTCCGACATTGCAAGTAAAGAAACGGCTTGGATGAAGATCAGAAAGATCATGACACTGAAGCCCAAACCAATGTATTCAGGAGCTCCTGAGGTGGCTGTTTCACTGCGTCCGCGGCATCACGGAAGCTCGCTTCCTTCTCTACGTCTGATCTCGTGGCGACATGGGAGACCCCACATCGACGGAGCGGTCGACCTGGTCTTCGGGTTCGAATGCTTTGGGACAGGTCTTCGGGTTCGAAAAACCACACCGCAGTAACCTCGACCGGTGGGAACCGGGAACCGGATCAGAACCAAGCTCTAGACATAGCCACGACCAGCCCATCTGTACCGACTGTACCTATTGAAACAGACTCCATGTAAAATTAAAAAGATCACTCCATGTATACGGAATAGATCATGCCTATACATTGACCCCTGCAGTATAGAGAACTCCTCTTATCTGAAGTCTGTACCATTGAGGATATCTTCCATTGAGGTAGCATCATCGATTTCACCCATCTCGTCTGTCTCCGTACATCGGGTAGAATCTGGAAGCCAAGCCTTGAATCACTTGGAGCAGAACATTCTTCAATTACAATTCATGACCACAAAATAACAAAGTTGATTTCTTCTTTGGACCAACTTTTGGACCAATGTTTCGGTATACGTTAACTTGAATTCAGGCCAAACATTTTGTTTTGGGTCCAAAGTCTTTCAGTACGCTGTCAAGAAAGAGGACGACTTTCCTACCCAAACTTGGTGTTCACCTGGAAAAACACTCATGTACAAGCATTTGCTGACTGAAACCAACACCAAAACCCAAACTCCTCTCCGTACGAACCGACCTTAAGACCCAGCGATTCCCGCCACGTGGCCATAGGGCAAGACCACATCGCCGTTCCCGCTACACATTTGCGGTCCACCGAAGGCGGCAGAGCGGGACATGTCGTTCTCGGCGCAGAAGACACCTGCCGTCGTGGAGCGCCGGCAGAGCGGCGGCCCCGGCACGTGACGTCGTTCGGAGAAGTGTGGCACCCCTGGCGACTCTCCGATCCGGCTGGACCAAGCGCGAAGAAAACGGTGAAATGTTCGGAGAAACTGAAATGAAGAGAATTGGTGTTGGGAAGGCAACATCCTCCGGGATTTTGCAGTAGAAATATACGGAGTACAAAGCAAATACAAGTATCTGAAGTATTCTGAAGTGGCACATGGCACATCACTTGCGTCAGTCAACACCGTCAACAAAAAAATGGTCGGAGCTACTGAGTTGGTGCACCAGCCAAAATCGCTGCAAGGTGTGATCAATGAGTTTGGGCTAGAAGGTGCCAAATTTCTATTCTGCTTTGGATTCGCAAGCTCTTCCCTATGGAACTGATGGATCCACTATGGATCCTGTTTTTTCCATTCGTGACCCAACTTGCTCCGGTTTGAGGTCAAAAACCAGGCCTGTGAGACGGGTCCAGAAGCTGCAATCCGGTGCGTGTCGCGATTGTGCTGGTCTCCTAGTAGCAAGAAGCTACTAGTAACAAAAAGGGCATCGCTACTAGGAGCAAGGACGCTAGTAGTAGCTCCTGGCCTTACTACTAGTTACTAGTAACAAGAAGCTACTAGTAGCTCCGGGCCTTACTACTAGTAACAAGAAGCTACTAGTAGCTCCGGGCCTTACTACTAGTAACAAGAAACTACTAGTAACAAAGGAGGAGGAAGGACGCTAGTAGTAGCTCCTGGCCTTATAGTAACAAAGGACGCTACTAGTAACAAGAGCATCGCTACTAGGAGCAAGGACGCTAGCAGTAGCTCCTGGCCTTACTACTAGGAGCAATGTTCGCTACTAGTAGCAAAGGACATCTTCTCTCCTCTTCCCCACCTTCCCGCCTTCCCGTCACTCCTTCCTCGCGCGGGACCGACGTGCCTCCTCCCCAGTACTTGATGCCGGAGCCAATCAGCCCAGCACCGATCAGGGTCACGCAGGTGCCGCTCACCACCGGTGGGAAGAGCTTCCTGAAGCCAAACCCCGACGTGAGCCAGCGCTGAATCCCCATGTCGATCGGAACATGTTCAGGTGAACCGCACTTTCCGCCTGTGAAAGGCATCTTGTTGAGTGTGGAAAACCTGAGAAGCTGCAAAACGAAAGCCAGCGCTTCCCTTTCTCGAGAACTGCGCGTCGAAGCATAGGATAGAAAGGTAGCGGCAGCTCCGCTTGGCATTTGCCAGGTGGAGGCGGCCGTGAGACCT